GACTCTTGAGCCTAATTTCAGCATTGGTACGGTGGCTAAAAGGGCGTTCTCGGAGCAGGGGGGTTGCGCCACGAAGCCATGAAGGCGTGTGAGGTTTGCACTTACCGTGGGCGAACCTCCCAAACGGGGTTCCCAACCACCAGGAACCCAACACCTGACTTTGCCGTTGGTATGGCAACTACAGTTGGAACAGCCGCAGTCGGAGCCGCAGTCGGCTGTGCGGTGCATTTATGCTTAACTTGATAGTCGTGGTGATGGCATTGCACCGAATGGTCTGAAGCTACCACCTCAAGATTGTCTACGGGTTACTTTAAAATTCACATTTATTTTCACTCATAACTAAATACTAAAAAATCGATAGTGCTAATAACCACTTCTTTTTTTGACAACGAGTGCTGTACGGACAAACCGCTTCCGTTTGATAAAGCACAATTCCTCATTAGCGGGAAGTTCTCTCTTGACCCTCACAGCGGGGGAGGAAGAGTCAGGTTCACGTCTACGCGCAGTAGTCGGTCTGGGGATGCTGATTCTGCCCCCCTCTGTGATGGCGTCAGCAAGCGCATAAGCGCCCTTCATCACAACCTTCTCCGGGAAATCCGTCGGCGGCATCTTTTTGCGGATAGCATTGAGGGAATCCCCAACCATATCCACTAACTTGCGGTCGTGAGCCAAACCCCCCAAGAGCACGAGGGCGTCAGTGTCCAGCTTCAAGAACTTACGGGCCGGAACCGTGTCTTTGAACAACTTGTTCACTTGATTGACGATCACTTTGCGGAACTTTTTGTAGTATTCTCTCAGAATAGTTTGGGAAAAGACTTTGTCCTCAAAATTCACCTCGATCGTGGCGGTCTTGCCTTCCACCAACAACGGAAGCGCCCCGTTGACGCCATTAAAAATCAACTGGCGAAGCTGGTGCTTCCGGCGGACCATGTTGGAATCTGGGAAAGACTTGTCCACCAAATACTCCTTGCGTTTGTTATCAACTGTCACAGATTTCGCATCAGGAGCGACGTAATTCGGCTTGTCGTACTCAAGGATGTTGATCCCGTACAACTTGTTTAATTCGGGGGCGTGGCGCTTCTCAAAATCCTTGTAGATTCTATTGGCGCAGGAGTTATCTTTGTGAATATAGTCCGCAATGGTGAGCTCGCCATCGTTCTTCAGCACAATGGACGCAGTCAACGTTTGCCCGAGGTGGACCACAGCTGTGTTCTTCACAGCGTCGTCCTCATCCAACCCGTGGTAGGTGACGGCAAGCACCAGTTCTTCCACCACCTTCGTGTTAAAGCCAGCCAGCATACCACTGCAGTGTACATGGTTCTTCTGTAATTCCGTCGCATAGTCAGGTACAGAAATCACAGCATCAGTGATAGGCGTTTTCTTGCCCAGGGGACCCTGCGACTCTTTCTTCATCTCACGCAAGATCAGGCCAATAAATCCACCAGGGTAATAGGAGATCACTCTCCCGTTACAAGGTAAATCAACTCTTAAGCGTTCATCTTTGCCAACCACAAGCTTATACGGAAGCTTGTGCTTGTTGTTCATCAATTCATTTTCCGACGCGGTGAATTCCAATTGCTTGGGATTGACAACAACGTGGTCGGGGATGATTGCGGCTTGCTGTAAAGCTTCCTTGCCAACAATGAGATTCTTCCCGTCAGAACCAGCGACAGCAGGCATGGAGATTTCCTTGGCTTGGCCGTCGTCCGAGTATGTCATCCGGAATTCTGAGGACCCGAGGTCGACTCCAGTCGCAATGATTGAATTGGTAGGGTTGGTCATGAGTAGTGTTATGAGAAAGGCTAATAGTGGAAGCTATTCGGGCTTTATAGTGGGTCGTGTAGCCACCTCACATAGGGGTGACTTTACAACGTATTCTGGGACGCGGGTCTGGTTGGCCCACGCCATTGTTTCCGCCAGTGGTAGAGGGCTAATACGACGAGTAGATGCCGTCACACGCCTCCTCTTGCTCGTCAACTCGCGGAGAGGCGGAGCCAATGGTCGCACAGGGCGACGACTGTTGCAAAGTCTCTTCCACGTTCTCGCCCAGCTGTTCGTCTATAGCACCCGCTGAACTTACTTGCACCATGGTTGGTGGCCATACTGACGCTTGCCCTAGCGCGGGGATGCCTTTAGCGTTTCCTGCCAGATTAGAATAACGGATAGTCGATGGTATGCATGAGCCGATAGCCCAGCGCACGTCGCCCTTTTCGAGGGCTGCATAGCCCCTGAACGCTCGCGCCCAATGGGCGTCATGCCAAGCAAATGTGCTGGTCATCGATTGGAGACCGCCATTGCACGCGGAGGGGATGTGCACCGCTCATGGGGACATGCCATCGGCTCGTAATTTACGACAGGCCCCCAAGAAATTTACGATGAGGGTACAGGCGATACCCACTCGACCATTGCGATTGACGAGGCCTTCCCCGTCGAAACAAACTCATGGTAGTTAATGGAGCTTGCACCACCTCCCGTGTCAATGACGAGGTAAGTGCCTCTGGTCGTGGCCTGGTGCAAGCAATGGCGTTGGCACTCTTGACGCTGACACAATGGCTCCGGCAGGCAGCGCAGCGAGGCTTTCCTTCGTTGGTGAGCGCTATGCCAGCGACAAAGCGGAATGTGGTCGTCAAGACGAGCTGCGAGATGGAGCGTCGTCGCCATACCGACAAGTTGAGATGACCACGAGGTCTAGGAAGTCAGCACAGGTAGCGTGTGGTGACCGTACATCTTGCGGAGTCCTTTGGGGTTACCTGAGATTAACGCCGCTAGCGCAAGATGTATGCGAGTACTCTTTGCCAGGTCCCGATATGCACCGAGTAAATTAGGCGGAAAAAGAAATTCACACCACCTTTTTTTTTTTTCAGGGAAAAAAAATTATTTCTTAGTCCCACTCTGAGTCCCCCTAACAACGGCGCTGGCCAGCCCGCGCATGCCCCGACAACGCCATTGTAATGTTGGCTAGACGATACTATCGTCCCCGGGGCGGGGAGCAACATGCACGACGACGCCAACATTCCCGACGCCCACAGTGGCAGGGGTTGTTGGACTGGTGGGCAGAGTGACGAGGGACAATGGCGGGGGGTCGTCTGAGTATCCCTGAAGGAAGCCAGGACCTGAGTGGTGGGCAAAATTCGGTTTTCATGCTAGGTTTAAGTGGTACGTAGTCGCAGAGATACTAGGTACAATCAAGCAGTTTTGAACTGGTGCAGGTTTCAGACTATTGGACCAACTAGTGGTAGTGTTGGCGTAAGTCCTCAACAATGTGGTGACCCGCCTGTTACCTGATGCCACACGGTAGCGCGATTGTATCGTCCATACCAGCGACCAAAGTGGCGAGGTCAGTGGGCATTACCAGAAAGCGAAGTAGTACTACAAATGTGTTTGCGTCAGTCTGGACTGGGTGCCAGTCCGTTTGTGGATGTAAATTAGCTATATAAAAGGAGGAGAGTGTTGAGCTCATGACGAGGTATATTTCGCGGGCAGACCCACCGGAAACAAGGCTGACTCGGTTTGAAACCCCGAAGGGCAACAACCTCGTCCGCCGTCGTTGGGTGGATGCGTCGATAAACCAATGCACATTCCGCAGTCCGTAGGTTGATCTCTCTTGAGTGCGCGGTACACACTCAGCTGCTACACCCCGAAAGGCGGAAAGAACTCAGAGCCAGGGTCCTCATCCTGTAACATCAGTTATGATCACACTGTGCCAAAACGCAACAGCGCACTTGTCAGCAGTGATCGCCTTCCTCGTCATGAGTGTCAACACGCCCCACACATGTCCCAGGGTAGGGCAAGGGGGGCAAGGAATCCCATGGCCGGGATTGACCAAGTGGGTGTTGAAAAAAAAAACCCCAGTGCGGGAAAACTGGGGATTTTAAGCTCGTGCCTGCAGATAATTCGCCTGCACATAACCGTGGGGGAGTTAGGCTGCCCTGGGTTGAGAGTTACCACGACGATTGACAATGGGGAGACGATGCTATACAATCTCCGATTGTGTGGGTGGACTACCTAACTTGTCATGAACCAGCAGTGGATGTGCGCTTACCGGGGTACTGCCCCACGACCGACTATCCATGTTCATGACCCCTGTAACCGGCATATCTGACCACAAAAACCACCGACAGCTCTTGGCTGCCAGTGGTAGTCGTTACACGCCAATGCTAGTCCACTTCCACATCAACTGGTCGAGAGTGCCTGCTAGCTGGCGGTGTCCCTTCACATCGTCGCGTTTGGTGGAAAATGCTCGGCTTCCCAATTTATTCGATGACGTCATCGCAGAGATCAGGGCACCGCACCCGTATACGCTTAGCTCGGCAAAGATGAGAGGGAGATGTGGCCGGGGAAATGGTGCCATTTGATGGATACAAATTGTACTGGTCGTGACCTGCTGATTGTGGCAGTCTTTGGTGATTGCCCCGATCTCAATATTATAAGAACTTGCCGGTCCTGCCAGCTCGCAAGTGATTACTCCCCATCGTCAAGATCGTGTCACGGGCGGGCGCGCCTTTATTGGCTTGCAACACAATAGAACAAGGGCTCTATATCCATTTGCGGCTGTCGCTCGCGCCACCGTGAGCACGCCTACTAGGTGTACTATCGGCGGCAGTGTCGACGCTGTACAATCGAACACAGGTAGACGCTCTACCACCGCAGGCAGCATTAGTTGCCGTAAAAGTGGTGCGAAGCCGACGATCGGTCGTATTCCAGAGATCCCTCCCCCTGATTGACGATATACTAACGCGCATACACCTGAAAAGGACAATTTCGGCGGGCTAACATCGCGAAAAAAAGAACGGCGGCTACGAACTGCGAATGTCATCACAGACTGGCGACGTGTTGGTCGATATCTTTAAGGGACAATGATGCCTATCGACTACTCGATGCTCTTCCTATTGCAAATTCTCATAGATCCTATAATGATGTTGCTAATTGAAATGTTTATTTCGTAAGGAAGTTTGTCGTGATTGGGTGAAGAATTCATGCAACGTATAGTTTGAATCAAATTACAAGTCCATGTGGTCGCGCTCGAAATTGACCAACATAAACTTGTCGTCATCGTAGTCTAGGCTGAGCCTCGAGATGTTTTGACTGACGTTTTCACACATCATCTCAAGCTTCAGCGCCCGCTCAAACCCCAGCAGCTCCAAGATGAGGGTGTTGATGTGAGAATAGAGCTGCTTGAGGTTACGTTCAAACAGAGCAATCGCCAGCTGACCGGCATGATGCTTCTTGAGGGTGTCGCTGTCTCGCACAAGGAATAACCCTGCCACTTCTTCCACTCGGGCTATTCGCTCTGGCTGATCTGCTTGGGCCAGCCGAAGATCGCCACAGGCCTTGAATGCTTCATCGTACGCCTGCTGAGCCTCGGGAGCCTGCTCAAGCTTGAGCCGGAGGTACTCCTTCATCAACCACACAAACTCCAAAAGTCGGAGCTGAAACAATAGCAGTTGTCCCTTTGCCAGGGCGAGCTCTTGAGGGTAATTAAGCTGAAGGAACCGGCGGGCCATTTCGAATTGGTGCGTGTCCAAGTACTGCTTGATGAGCTTGCGGTTGCTGGCGTGCAGTTTATTAAGCAAGAGCGTATCCAGAGGTACTGGATCCGATGAAGTGCCCAATTCCAGCTGGAGCCCCGAGACGTCGTTAGAAAACGCCTTGAACGTATCGATATACCCTTCGTGCATGAGATAATCCTTAATAAGATCGTCGAGATTGTCTGACAGCATCGTTGGAGGCACCTCAACAGGGGCGACCTGCGACATTTCAGCCCGCGAATCCTGTTCCCGCTCAAGCTCGGCAATATATTTATCGTTTTCCGCCTTGTAGTTTTTGACGTAGTTGTTGATGTTGAACTTAAACTCCTTGAACCCTAAGTTGGTGCGGATCTTGCACTGCGTTGGCACCACCGCTGGTTCGCCTGGTTCCAGCGAGTTCTTGAAGTTCTCCGTCATTTCAAACCCAAGGATAGGATATACCAGGTTCATTTGCACCAGCGACTGTGCCTCCGTCCGCCGTGATGTGGCGAACAAGTTATCATGAGCCATCGCCGAGCTCACAAGCTCGTCGTGGGTGATGATACGCGCCATTACCCCGTTTAAAGTGAAGAACAACAGCTTGTCAATAAAGTTGATACCACAGCCGACAACATCCGTTTGGTATACCCTGAGCTTCAGCGACGACTGTTTTTCGTTGATTCGCGTCCGTAACGGCAATCCTAGGTTGATCCGTCCCTGGTCCGCCTCCAGCAGAGTATTGCGGATACGGCGGTTGATGTTGAGCATCGCCTGCCGTTGGGTCGCATCGAGATACTTGATCAGATTGTAGAACACCAGGTCCTGGAAGTTGAGTGCATACAGCCCGCGTAAGTCGCCGGGCTTTTGCACAAGCAACAGCTCTAACACTTCCGTCTGACCGCCACCAAGCAGCCGTTTGCGGTCCTTGGCAAGCAAGGCGTGCTTGATACTGTCCAAGTCGACGCGCTCCAGCGCCAGCACCGAGCCGTCGAGGGAAAATTGACGGCGCGCGAACCCCACGCACATGTGGAGCGTCTGGTTCAGCAGCACCAGCGGATCGTCCATCAGGACAAGCGGCTTGAAATTGGTGACCTCGGCGGTGGCCTGCTCCACCTCCACCTCGTAGTAGAATATACCAACGCTGGGATTGATATCTTTATCGCAAATAAAGTTGTAGTAGCGCAAAAGATTGGGGTCGGTGTCGTGGCGCTGGTCGTTGCGCTCCGGAGGAGGGTGGTTGGTGTGCATCTCAATCGTCAGGTAGCCGTTGTCGAGGTGGGTGCGGAGATGGAAGTCTCGGTGGAGCTGTTCAAGCGACTTGGCGGGGATCAATGGCAGCCACGAGAACGGGAGCGAATACGGGAACTGCTTCGACCCCGGAGCTACCACCACGCTCGGCGGCGCCAGAAACGATGTATCGAGACACTGGGTATGCTTGAGCAACTCGGTGAGGGGCATGTTGACCAACTTGGCGTACTCCTTGGGCACCAGGGCCCCGTGGTCGACAATTTCGCCGACATGGCTCGGCGACACCCGCGACAACCAGCTGCGGGGGTTGCCGTGGTAGTCCTCGTCCTCGGTGTCGCTGTCGCTGTCCAATTTGTCACGTACGGTGTCCAACATCTCCCGCAAGTAGTTCAGGGTTACCAGGGGCAACGGCGGCGGCTCGGCGCCCAAGATTCCCAACGCCACAAGCTTATGGTACACTTTCTCTCGGACAATGTCTTCGATCCAGTGGTCGTAGGAGAAAACCGGCGGCTTGGTTGCCGGCGGCGTGTCGCGGTAGTAGAGCGCCAGCAGGGGCGAGATCACGTTGGATGCGGCCAATTCGTCGTCGATGTCGGCGAGCTGGCGGAGGAGCGCCAGCCCCAAACACGTGTTGAGCACGTACGGCGGGATCACGTATTGAACCCCCGACATCGGTGTGGGGCGTGAGTGTGGGGTCGGTGGCGTTAAGCGCGCGACGAGAGGTCGTTGGTAGTAGGGGCGTAGCGGGAAGCAGAGGATAGGCAGTCAGCGTGTATGCAGAGTACGAGGGCTTTAGAAAAGGTGGGGGAACGAGCAAAGGGTAAATTGGAGAGACATTGAGGACATTGCTGTGCCCCAGAGCAATAGACGACGTGGGGCGCGTGCAAGTGGCAGGTATAGTTCGCGCGCACTGTTTTGATCGGCTGAGAGAAACAACCGTGCTGCAACGATCGCAGTAGACTGCGAGCACAATCTCCTATCCGTGCAAGATCATTGTTTACCACAATAAAATAGTCATATATGGAACAAGCCTGATTGATTTCGACTTCGATGATATTTACCTTCTGCCGGTTATGCTTGAAATTACTAAAGTTTTCATACCTTCCATGTCCAAGACCGTATCTCTAGCTAATTACGAAGTGTATAGTCTTGCTCACGTCTTCGCGCTACCGTTAGTTCCAGCGGCCTTCGCCTCGGCTGCAGCAATGTACTGCAATCGCTTCACCTCCAGCAATCGAAGCGCCTCCTCCATCGCCTTTTCAACATGGGCGGACCACTCGGCATGCTCCTTATACTTGTCCATGGCATACGTTACTTCTGCCGGCAGATCAACGTCAAACTTCTCTGCTTCCTCCTGCAGCAAATAGTTCACAGGAGGGATGTCAGCCCCAAATGGGTTTTTGGCCATCTCCTTTTTGGTAAAGTTGGTTTCCAAAAACGTATACATCAACCAAAGAAAGCGCTTGGCGCGATTTTCTGGGTGCACCAAGGATTCTTGGAAGAAGTCCAAAAAGTTCACGTAACAAGGATACGCATTGTTCTCCTTGCCGAAAAACGGAAGCGGTTTCTTGTACCTTGATAACGCAAGAATGAGCACCAACACATTCATATTAGGCTTCTGCTCCGGAGGCTTTTGTATCAACTTCTCAAGATTCCTTTGATCAAATGGTGAATCCTTAGATTCGATGTTGACAATCTCCTTGAAACTTTTAGAGTCTGGGAACCGCAAATTCACGTTGGGCATAGTCTGCAAACTAGGAATAGAATTGAACGCAGACAGGGTCAGGTGCAGCTTAGCAATGAAGCCCACGCGAGAACTCATACGACCAGCGTTAACCATGAGCATCAACATCGCCACCACCATCCCCACGGGACGACTCGAGAGCATCCCCGCCTTGATAAGCTTGGTCACTCGCCTCAGAGACAGCTCAGCAATGGTGCGGGTGTATAACTGGTAGAAGGTTATTTTGTCTCCTTCGTAAACACCTTCCTCGAAGTTATTGGTGAAAGCTTTGGTTTCATCGTTAAATAAAGCGGTCATAAAGTCAAGCTGAATGTCTTGCCGGGTAAATGCTTCCCCTACCGGCTTTTTGAGGTGGACTGTCGACGTGATGAAACTGAAGTTGTGACCTCGAGTGTATAATTGTTTGGCAAACGACGAGAGATTGACATTGGGGCGCTTAAACGGTGGGTACTCTCCAGTAGAAGCATACGAATCGTCAGCATCAAGATGTCGCTTTTCACCCGTCACACTGGTCGTTTGAGCAGGCGTGGCTGGCTCGAAAGTGGCTGGCTCGGAAGTGGCTGGGGTGGTACTTTGACCCGATGCCGCCAACGACGTATTATGTTGCGACGATCCATTCTGAGGCTCGACCGTGTTTTTCACGTTGCTCTCAGTGCGTCTTGCTGGCGTTTTCTCCGCCAGAGCTTGTTTTGCAGTAGCTTTCTTCGCCTTCTCTGATGTCGTCAATTGAGTGGGTTCAGGGGTAGGCGTATTGCGGGCAGAGACGCCAGGGGTGACCGATTCACTAAGCTCTATCGGTGTTTGAGGGTTAGACTCGGCAGAAGGCGTCAGATTATTGGATGTCGCCGCTGGGGTGAAGCCAGTGGAGTCCTCGGCAACCGCCAGGCCGTTTTCCTCGGCATCACTTTTCTCGGGCTCGTACAGCAGCTGAGACCACTCCAACGGCTCTTCCAGGGATGCATGTTCTGAAATCGTTTGTGGTATGGTCTCTGGGGTTGGATTTTCGGGGATGTCAGGGGTATTATCCTTAGCGTCTGCCTGGGGGTCTTCCGGCAGCTCTGGCACCTCCACGTCGGGTAGATCGATATTATCAACCGGTTCCGGCGCCTCAAGTTTAACCTCGACCAGATTCGGCTGCGGCAGCGCCGGTTCGTCGATGTATTTGAAGCCGCCTTCATACTGAAACACCGCTTGGAAGAGATCGAAATTCATCGGGGCCCACGCGACGCAGTCAGTAGTCGAGACAATGAGGGTCACCAGTGAAGGCAGTTCGGATGAAAAGGTCAGTCGGCTTGGGTGTACACGCCCACGGTGAGGAGGCACGGGCGCGGCTTGATGTCACTGGAGAACGGGCGAGCACTGGGGCGCGTGATGGTTACACGCGCACCGGCTACCACCCCAGCGAAACAGCCGTGCCGTAGCGCCTTTTTTTTTGAAAATATAAAATTTGGTGTTAATTTAAACGTGATTCGGTTACCAATAATCAATTGAGTTTTGGTGGTGGTCAAATGATGATGTGCTAGTGATTTTCGACCGCTCCGAAGACCTTCTGATCACGGAGCTGTCACCTCGTAGTTCGCGCGCGCTATCACTGGGCATCAGCCATGATTGCGAGTTTAGCTAAATTATCGAAGTTTCAAGCTTTCTGATGAGGGTGACGTGTTTGTCATCAATTATGGTGCCTCTAACTACACTACAAATTAAAGCATAAAAGACATGGAATTCGATTGAATTATCTGTGAGTTTAAACGATTGATGCCATTACAATGTGATGCAGTTGTCGCTATCACTTGACACGCTCATCCCTCGAACTAGTTTTCTAACGTTGCCGCCTGTGATTCTCCGAGTGTCCTGTCAAGAATCCGTTGTTTCCAGTGTGAACTTTGGGTGATCGACAAACTCAGTTACCCTTGCAGTAGGCATCAAAAGTACACTCATGAGTATGGGTAACATTGAGCTGGCGGCACAATGAGGAGTTCTGGTTGTTATTGTCACCAGAACTCTCAGACAATCAGCTTGAGTATGGCAATTTCTGTTGGCCTCGTACGTCGGTCGTAGAGTTACCGTCTCGACGTAAACGATTTGCGTAAGGCATTATAACTCCTCGATGACCCCGTGGGTCAAATTGTTTGAGACCAACCCATACTGGATTCAGATGCACCATGAAGATGAATGACCATCGATTTACTGTGCAATCAGTTGGCATCCTTTGATGACGAAGTCGAATCATCTTTGACCTTAGCTTGGTAAACATCAAACTCCCAGAGCTTCATTGTCACCTCGCCTGCCATGGCCACCACCGTCTCCGGCCGGGATGGCACTCGGGTCCACCCTTTGGTGACAAGGCCCTCCTTCAGTACCACTTCCACTGCAAATGAAAGCCCCAGCTGCTGAGGTACCCGCTTCACTTGGTCCACGTGGTTGTGCATCACCAGGTTCAATTGAGTATAAATTTCGGCCCAGCCAAAGCCGTCAATGGCAATTTCGGTCGGTCCCAGCGGGAGAGGCACCACCACGTTCGCCATTTCCACCACGTACTCCGCCACCCGTGTCCGGCTCAGGTCCTCTATCACACATACCACCTGCTTGAGCGAGTCGAGATGGTCAACGATGTTTTCCACCAACAGGTCGAGGTACTGGCGTACGGCGGGGTTGCGGTTGCGGTAGACAACGATCTCGAATGTCCGGATCTGGCTGTAGGTGCGCTGGTCGTAAACGTGGTAGTAGTAAAGGGCTTGCTCGATCCAAAGGGTGAGGAACTCACGCATCGTCCGCACTAGCGAGTTGACGGTGACATCGGTGTCCATCGAAGCATGGGGTTGTGGGGTAGGTGTGGTATGTTTGTTATGGTTGCGCGCTTGCTCTGGCACAGCGAGGGCGTGCGCGACCCAGTGAGTTTCCAAAAGTCGCACGGCCCCATAACAGCTGTTACCATCAATTTGCTAGCTTAGTGCGAGATGGCACCAAAGCACCCCTGATAATACCACACAAATAGTACCCAACATGAAGTTAATGAATCTACTACCACTTGCAAAAACAGCGAATCATCGAAACATATCTTCAAAAGCAATTCACTTCCCACAATTCCTCATTTCCCTTTATTAGCTGATTCTTGATCTCACTCCTTGGCCTTCCCCTCGATCGCCTTTGATCGGTGCGACGCGCCTCTGACCCGGTTACGCGTTCTCTCTACAAATGCCTATCCAGGCCATCAGCGCTGGAGATGTCAATCGGATCACCCTGGGTCAGGTGATCACTGACGTCCGAGCCGTGCTCAAGGAACTCGTGGAAAATGCTCTTGATGCCAATGCATCTTCGGTGGAAGTGCTTCTTGACGACTACGGGATCGAGCGCATTTCCGTGGCGGACAATGGCCACGGCATCGACCCCGAAGACTTTGCCGGCCTCTGCTTACGAAGCCACACCTCCAAGATCAGCCTGCTAGCAGACTTGCTGCTGCTTTCGACCCTTGGCTTTCGAGGGGAGGCCCTCCACTCGTTGTGCACCGTGGCTCGAGAGGTCAAGGTTACCACTGTACGCGATCAGAAACTCCACGAATTGACCTACGACAACACTGGAAACCTCGCCAATCAAACCACCAAGCCGACCCGGCAGGCTCCGGGGACGACGGTGGTGGTTTCGGGTTTATTCCACAACCTTCCCGTGCGGCTTAAGCATTTGAAGAAGCTGGCACTGTCGGAGCTCCGCAAAGCGGTAATGTTTCTTAACAATTACGTCATCATCAACCCCCACACCAAATTCACCGTCTCCCATACTAATAACGGCAAAAAGCTGCTTGTGGTGCTGTCTCGAGGAGGACCCACTCAAACGGTACTTACGGGGTTACTGTCAGTTTTTGGCAAGAATGGAGCCAAAGGTCTTTCCGAAGTTGACATCAATGCTGGAGACGTTACCATAACCGGCTATATATCCAACTTCTCGTTTGGGTGTGGGGCCCGCCTGGCAGCTGATCGCCAATTCTTATACGTCAACCGTCGTCCTGTGGCTAATAAGCGACTCGTCAAGGTGATCAACGAAGTCTACCATCAATTCAATAATGCCCAGCATCCAGTGTTTGTGCTTGATTTGACTATACCGCCGGCTATTGTCGACGTCAATTTGACTCCCGATAAGACGAAAGTGATGATTAATCGTGAAAATGATCTCCTTGAAGATGTGCGTGAAGCTCTAAGACAATTTTACGATCAACAAGGGGGTATCACCATCCCCAGAGGAGAGTTTGCTGATACTCTGATGAGCTTCGATGCCCGTGATCAATTGCCAACATCAGAAGTGGATACCCTGAATATTCTCGGTAAGCTGGGACTTTTTGTCGATTCAGAAACACCGTCTTCACCACAAGCATCATCTCAAGCGGTACCCCAATCTCTGAGTCCTCCCCCGAAATTAAACGTTCGCAACGAGGAGCCGCCAACCTCATCACCACCTCGTCAACATGCTTCATATATAGTTGAACCTGTCACTTATGAGATTTTAGAAAGATCCAACGTCACTACGCCCCATGAAAATAACGGCGAAGATGAAAAGCGTGGTGACAATTTCGATGACAATGACGATGACGTTGACGATGATGCCAATGACGATGCCAATGATAAAGGTGACAATAACGATGATGATAACGGTGACGAATCCCAAGTTGTTGGTCATGTGGTGATAGGCGGAGGGAACTCGGGAACTCCTCAGCTCATGATGGGCAGAGACGGGAACATCATATGGGCAACCGATACATCACTTCGACCTTTAACTCAAGAGAAAACTCACCTGAATGAGGGTGGTTATGGTCAAGCTAATGATGGCGACAGCGAGTTGGACGACAGCGAGGTTGACGACAGCGAGGTCGACGACAGCGAGGTCGACGAAGACGAGGTCGACGAGAGTCGGGTAGATGACAGTCAACACGATGGAGGTGACGATTTGTACGGCGCCCTTCGCGAGTTACTTGGGCCACCATCTGGCAAAAATGACAACAATGATGATGACATCAATAAGGAAAGTGATCAGTTTGATGCTGGCCCGACAGTGATTGAGCTTTTCCCTGAGTGGAAAAAAGTCAAGGCAGTCAAATTCAATGGCGCAATTGACGAAGACGTCGTCTACGGTGGTCAAGCAAAACTCACAGTTGGAAGTGATGGCTACTTAGTGAGGGAGGCTGATGGATTTATTGATGATGCTGGCCGTCTCAACAGTGGTGGAGATGAAGAAGAATATAACAATGAAATCGTGGACGTCTATGATAAGGATGCCCCAATACTCAAAAAGGTGGTGGATGATAACGATCCCAAATTTTTGAAAACAGTGGAGTGGGCTCCTTTAGATCACCGGCTGATCATAAGAGACATGTCTATGCTCAATCCCGACCAGATCCGCTTAATGAATCTTTTTGACTTACCACTAATCGAATGTGAACTGGAGGTGTGTGCGTTTCTCAATGAGATGAGGAATACGCGATCCAAAGACGAGTGGATCGGGTTTAAGCATTTGGCGTGTCTGTTCTATGCCAGAAAGACTGGTTTCAAAGAGTACCACTATAAAATGAATGTACCGTGGGAATTGCCGGTCTCTAATTCAAGCGATGAAGAGGGTGAGTATTACTACAATGGTTTCACTGGAAAATTAGTCAAGACAGACTATCGTGAACGGATGATCGATGACCCCAGCTCGGAAGAAGAACCAGAGCCAAAAATGAAATTTAAACAGCGCAAAACCTTATTTGAATCTTTCGTCACACAAAAACCATTTACGAGTGCCTTCTACCACAGCTACCGCAAAAAGGAAGATAAGCAGAGTCCCTTACTTTTCCTACCGAAAATCCTCACCAAGAATAATCACGCTGAGGTTGAAGGTGAGGATATCGTTTTCGCCGAAGCTCAAGACGAAAATTCTGATAAGGCTCAGCTGAATGAAGATGAAGAAGGCAATAGTGACTCGCAAAAGTCGCTCAGTGATTTCATACATCAACCGTATGGCGAGAATCTCGTTGAGGATTCGTATGGGAAAAACTTCAACCCAGTTCGAACTCACGATATTGAAGTACGGATCGGTGATCACGTCCATTGGGCACCAACACTAGAAAGACGTCGTCCGAAAACGTCACCACCACAAAAGAAGAAATTGTCGACGGTAGGGTGGCTGTTTGGCAAGTCAACATGGGAAACGAAAGCTGCTGAAATTGCAACTCAACAAGCCTCGGCCCCCGAAGCTCATGATGTGGTTAACCAGGACACTTCGATGCTTTCACTGTACATTGTGTCCAAATCAGATTTTGAACAGATGCAAGTTATTGGTCAATTCAATCTCGGCTTCATTCTTGTGCGGTCCAAAGATGATAATATGTTCATCATCGATCAGCACGCCAGCAACGAGAAGTACAACTTTGAGTTATTAAGCAACAAGTACCATGCTCCCAGCCAGTTGCTTGTGCTGCCCCTCACCGTTCAACTTACCGCGGTGGATGAAATCTTGGTGAAAGAGAAGCTTCATATATTTAAGTTGAATGGGTTTGGTGTTAAGTTTGATGCTGATCAACCTCCAGGTCAGCGGGTCAAGTTGATGCTGATGCCTCTGCTGAAGCAGGAGAACCAGCTGTACACCGTTGATGACTTCTATGAGCTTCTTGCCCTCATTGCTGAGAACCCCCATAACAAGTCGGTACGTCCACTGAAAGTGCGGCGCCAGTTGGCGATGAAGGCTTGTCGGCTGTCGATCATGATCGGAGCTAGCTTGACCCGTAATCGCATGGAGGAAGTGGTGAAGAGCTTAGCCACTCTCGATAAACCTTGGAACTGTCCCCATGGTCGTCCAACCATGCGGCATTTAGTGGAGTTGGCCCGGTGGAAAAGCAATAACTTCCCTGACTACGCCCTTGAACTTTGACGTCACCAAACCAAAGCGAATTGGAAACACAAACAATTGATATCGGCAGTGTCATCTCGGCTCGGCACTGCCTTCTAGACCGAACAGAGAACAATCATCGCGTATAGACATTACATACATTTAGAACCCTCATAGTCTTCTTTTAGAGTGGGAGTGATCCAACGATTAAACCAACATTTCAATATATTGCCCCGACTCTTAGCGTTTACATGATGAAAGAGGAGGTTCCAAGAATTCGATTTAGTGTTCTCTGCGGGCAGCATCCCATAGTATTCTCGTGTTTCTATGGCTCACCGTTTTCGGGCGCGATCAATGCATTAGCTCAGGGGCGCGCATCCCAAAATGGATTATGCAAAGATCAAATAGGATCTGACGTGGGACTGCGAAACGACCACAAAACCGGCAAATAATCTCGTGAAACCTTCACCTAAATGACTATATAAATAACAAGTGGAACTTAAGCATTTCCGACAATGAAGTTCACCTCCGTTCTCGCTACCTCCATCATCGCTGCCGTGGCCGTTGCCGACGACGCTGCTGCTCCCGCTGCCCCTCCCGCCGACATTACGGAAGCTCCTGCGGCTCCGGAAGCTGGTGAAGGCGCCGGTGCTCCTCCTATCCAGTTCACCACTTGGGCCACCGCCTACGCCACCACTTTGCAATACAAATTCCCCGATGGCGGCCTGGGACAAGCCCAAGTTTATGAGCAACAAATCCAAGGTGGTCTGGGTAGCGGCACCGGCTTTGCTAACGACTTTGCCATCCACCCGTCTCCGTTCGATCAGTTCTTCGCCAACTTCTTCGACTGGTTCCGCAACTCCGTCGGTGGTGCCATTGGCCCCGCCACACCAACTCTCTTATAAGTACCTTCCATCAATATAAGTTTACTCTTTAACCAATCAACAATCCGAAGCCCTGATGAATGGAAACTGTAAAATGATTTACCGTTTGTGTTTATAGGCTTTGGTATGCTTTCAGTGTCAGATCTAGAGAATGAGTGCGCACAAGCTAAAGTTACCCAGAATTTTAAACTTTAACGTTCAACATACTACCCAGGATTCATTTCACACTTGGCTTCTAACTTTGGCGTCTCAGCTTCCAACGAATACATGGAGGCATGCAAAATCCAAGGTGGAATTTTCGAGATGACGAAAGTCACCCAGCAACGCTGGTGAAAATTAATGACGTGCCACCAGCTAAACTTCGTCCAGATCATTCTAGTAATCTAGATGGACTAATTATCGTCATTGATTGCCGCAAAGCAACAAAAAAGTATGCGCAAACCCGGAATCGAACCGGGGGCCCAACGATGGCAACGTTGGATTTTACCACTAAACCATTTGCGCCTTCTATGAAAAATATTGGTTTAATCAAAAGGGGTTGTTATGATGGATAGGTTACATGTGTAATCTGTTCCAAATGCTTATATCTTGAGTAGTTTTTGAATTTTGAACGTATTCTCGATAGCCAGAACATATTTATGAACAGAGTGCTCAAAATTCGTTGTAAACGAAGGAGAAATCTTAGAACAAATCTGGGTAGCAATACCTAACATTGCATCAAATGTCTACCGACAATAAACTATAAGCCAAGAATTACTTGGAGTGTGATCAAAATGAAATATGGATATACTAAGCTTGTTTCTAAGTCGTCTATTACCGTAATTATTCCTCGTCCGAGTCTTCCATGTCCTCGTCTTCCATTTCCTCCTGGGCCTGCTTGGCCTTTTCTCTCCGTTCGTCGCGGTCCTCGTCCTCCATCGCTTGGCGCAAGATCCGCTCGCGTTCCTCCTTGGCCTTTCTGAGCACCGAGATGTACTGGCCCAAGGGGGTCAGCTCCCACTCGGTGGAGCTCATGAAGTTGGCGACCTCGACCTTGTTCGAAGGACCGTATTCCACACCCAGACGTTGCTGGGTGACGAGCTGGGCGTTGGCATTCAACTTCTCCACCAACTGGCCCAATTGCCGATTGAACTTACCGTTCTTGCTCTTCTTCAAAAACCGTCTCAACAGCAACACCGCGGGGGTGACGAGTTCGGGGAACGCCACCAGTTTAGCGTACAACCCGAAGAACTCGGCGGAAAGCTCGATGAACTGGTCGGCGACGCCGTCAAAGTAGGCACGGGTGCCCAAGTACGCCTGGTTCACCTTGATGTTGGAGTCAAAGTCGACGGCGGCAAGTTTCAGCGACTTGGGGGGTTTAGAGAACATCGACGACGTCAACACCTCGGCAAGCAAGGGGAAGATGGGGATATAGGTACCGGTGGCCTGCGACACTCTGAGGAGGGCTCTGACCAAGTAGAATCGGAGCGGGTAAAACTGGGCGGTGGGGATGAGTCTGATGGTACCGAGAGTCACTTGCACTAACGGGTACACCAATTGGCGGAGCGAGGTTTCCTCACTGCCGTGGAGCGACACCACACGTGACCAGAAGTCAAGACTGTTGACGTACTGCCAGTTGTAGACGATCTTGTACCCTTCCTTAGCGTTCAGGGTCTGGTTGATCAGGTTACGTAAGTGGATGGCGGCCTGACGGATGAATTCGAACCCGACCTGGTAGGCGATGGTAGTGTCGATACCGTAAAGCTCCGCCGCCAGGTTTTTACAGAAGTTAAGCAGGGGCAAACTGCGCTGGGTCACCTTGTGACTGGCTTGGACGAGAGCCGAATAAGTTTGTCTCAATACCACTTCCAACACCGAGGTGGGGAACTCGCGACTGACGTTGTTCAAGAAGGCAAACGCGGCGATCTGGGTCTCGGTGTCCTGCAGCGTCAGCCACAACCCCACCACTTCATTGACGAGCTTCTTCACGAGCCGCTTGTGGCCCAAGTAGAAGGGGAAGATCTCGTTTAATGACAGCAACGCCAACGCGGCGATGTCGGTGTTGGTGATGTCGTTTAAAAGCGTGAGCACACTGAGCGCGTGGTTCTTGAGCACTTGCGTGAGCGGGTGGACGTACTGGTTGTTTTCGGGGATCACTCTGACGCCGTGGGGGCCCTTTTTGTATTTGACAAGCTTTTGGATTGCCTGGGGCACATCTTTGAGAGTGAGGTAGATAAGCAGAGTGAATGCGTCGGGGTCTCTCACGATGAACTTGGTCACCACTTGATCGTTGTTGACGTTGACGGCAGCGTCGAAACCAACACAGATTTCCCTAATGAGTTTAGGCGAAGGCTTCTCGGCGAGTCTAGACTTCCACATCGCCACCAACTCCTTCGTAAGGTCACGCTTAGCCTTCAGCTTGGATTCTTTGGCTTTTTTTCCTTCTTGTTCTTCGTCGTCGTCTTCTTCTTCGTCGTCGTCGTCGTCGGAAACCATGTCCAAGGGGTTACCGCCTTCAAAGTCCAAAAGCTCCTTGTCGTTCTCCTGTAAGTACTTGTAGAACTCAGGGTCTTTTTCCTTGAGCTTCTCCATGTCTTCCTTCATCATTTCTTCATCCTCTTCTTCCGAAGATTCGTCGTCACTGGCCTCTTCTTCGTCTACTTCGTCGTCAACGTCTTCATCGATTTCCTCATCGCTCTCGTCTTCAGACTCCAGTTCCAGCTCAGCCTTCTTGCTGCCCTTCTTCTCCTTGGGCACCTCAAAGCCGCCGTCGAAGAATTGGTCGACACTCATGTCTTCAAACACTTCCTTGGCCGCGGTGGGCACCGGTTCGGAGTCATCGCCACTCAGCAGCTTCTTCTTGCGCAGCAGGACTTTTTTGTTGTGGGCCTGGACCTTCTTGCGGTGGTCGAGCGTCCGTTTGAGATGCTTGCTCTGGAACTTCTTCGTGGCTTTGGACGTCTTGGCCATGCTGTGGGTTCGGTGGAGGGCAAGCCCGTATTTTTCGAGATGAGCATCGCGCGACTGGGGGGGGGCCCGATGAGGTAACCCGAGTGCGATAAGGCACCGCGAGAAATGAGTGGGGAGGCGGAGAGTATTTGGATATGAGAGACTGTTAGTGAATGTGGACTATGTCAGTATTTTCGATGTGTGTGTTGGATCGATGACAGGGTTCCTATGGTTGATGAGATTGCTATGGAGTCATAGCAGTGGTAGAGGAGTAAACAAAATGAGATAAGATACTTCTGTTTGGACATCTTGAGAGTAGATGTCGTAGGTCAGACGATGAACACCTGATTTCAGGAATCTAATCCTATGATCCCCGGACTATTTATCGTAGAGCAGCGTAATACTCATCTTACTATGGGATTCATTATACCGTTACTATTTCGTAAAAACTAAACAATACTAAGCACATAGTCAACGTCATATATCCAACCGATTCTAAAAGTGTATTGTTAACATCTTGGATTTGACATTTTTGGCGTAATCGTAGTAACCCCAAATATTTACAATTTTCGCACTGATGGGGATAGTACACCGAATATAATCAATCCCAAAGAGGTAAGATTCAAGTAACTCAAAGTGTTTGATCATTTGAGTCTACAAACTCAGTTTTCTGGTCATTACTCGTCTATTAGAATCTATGGTACATTTACAACTTGTTGTCGGCTCTGGCCAACATCGAGCGGTACTGGGACAAGTCGTCGCCGGTGGAGCACAGCCCGCCACACACCACGATGACGACGATGTCGTCGGGCTGCAAGTGGCCAAAGTGCTTGAACAACAAGTCCATGCGGTTGAAGACCACCAGGGTCAGCGCGCCGCACGCGGGCTCGACGATCTTGCCGATCTTGTCGTAGTAGTCGACGCACCCCTTGAGGGCGTCGGCGTCGTCAATCACCTCCAAGTGGGTCTTGACAACGTCCAGGTTCTTGAAGTTGTTGAGCGAGGTCTGGGTGGTGTACAGGCACGCCAACAGCGTCGCCATCAGTTTCACCAGCTTCAAAGTGATCAACTTATCCGCCTTCACCGTTTCGTAAAGCGTCGGCGCTTGTGCCGTTTCAATCAAGAGCACCTCCAGGTCGTGGATGCCGTTGCGCTGTAACCCTTGGTAGATGCCGTTGTACAAGCCACCGCCGCCACACAGACACACGATCCCCTTCAAGTGGGGCACTTCCTCGGGAGTCAACTGTTGCTGGACCAATTCGTCGACCAACGAAGCATGCCCTTCCCAGATTAAGGGGTTGTCGAACGGGTGGCAATAGATGGGCAAGATCTTGTCGGTGTCGATCAGCTCCAAAATATTGCGCAAGTGCTGGTCGGCCTCGAAGATATTGTTGCCGAAAAGGATCATCTCGGCATTGTAGCTCTTCAATTGTTGTTTAACCACTTCTTTAGCGATTACGGGGAGCACCACCGTACACTTGAGCCCGTAGAAGTGGGCGGCATAAGCAGCAGCAAGACCGGCATTGCCTCCCAGCAGGGCAAACACCTGTACTTCTTTCTTGCAGCGACGAGCATTAGCCGCTTCCAACTGGGAGTGGATCAAGTGGCCAATGCCCCGCAACTTGAACAGGCCCAGCGGCTGCTCGAGGTCGTTCTTCAACAACACCCGGCACGGCGGCGTCATTGGCAACTTGTTGGTCGCGTCACACAACAGGGTGGTGATGTGGGGGGCAGGCAAGGCTGAGGGTTGAATTTGCAAGCTTGACATGCTCATGAGTGGGGGGGGAGAGTTGAATCCTACGGAGAGAAAATCTGGGAGGGGTGGCGGTGGCGGTGGTTTTATAAAGCACCCGGTCACTGTGGGGGGTGCCGTTTGTGCACACAGCGGGAAAGAGTCAAGTTTTCGGAGGCAAGCGGTGCTGGGGGGTCAGAGCGGAGGTTACCTTCCGCGACTTCTCCTCCCTAAGCTGTGACTGTGGCTGACTCGGCGCCCGCACGGACGCGGCCGTTGCACTGCATATAGGAGGACACGAGTCACCCACCCCTCCCTCACTGCGACAACTTCGACAACCACCACTCCCTTTAGATTCCTTTGAAAGCCTTCTCCTTGAGCATTGGTTTCTCTCTTGTTTGGCATTGCTGGTTTTGGGAATGGCTGGTATTTCCGAGTCCTTTTTTTATCAGTAGATTAGCGAGAGATATCGGGTGAGCGGACCCTATCTCTATTTGACTCTCTCTCTCTTTCAGAGTAAGTGCTGGAGGGTCGGAATAGGAGCCCGCAAACAGCAACGCTTGCCCTGTAAAGCCCAAAGGCATGTGCCCCTCCGGCGAACGGGTCGCCGTTTGCGTGTGGCCATTTGACTCGTACCCTCAGGCGCCCACGGCTTCGGAGCCCAGCGCCGTGGCTCCGAGCAGAAAAACGCCACAACGCTTACCAGACGCTTCGGGTACAGTGCAGGAAGGTGTCAAAAACAGCGACCCGCTCCGGCGATCGCCGTCTCGGTAATCAGCGGGCTCGCCAGCGGGAACCCCCCGAACTTGCGATATTTTGGGATAACGAACAATGATAACAAAGCATCAAGACTTGTAGACAATAGATAAACGTCAAGTCGTCAATGTGGTGGTCAGGCTTTGCTGGTTTCCTGCATTTGTTTTGTTTTGGTGAGCAGCACGCCGGTGAGCTAAGGTCAGGGGGCAGCGATGTCTGACCCCGAAGTGGGGTTGTGTTCGGAGTCGACTGCGAAGGGAAAACTCGGGCGCTGCCGCCCACAACCGAAGTTGGAGTGGGGGCGGGGCTCATACTTGGGAACACAATTGTAAACTTACCTTTGTGAATCTTGCTTAGAAATGAACCGTTTAACCCTACATTTAGTTATCGACCACTACCACGTCTTCCTAAGTGTTATACCTACCGAATCTTCGCACTGATGCTCATCGTATAGTGTCGTTTAGCCCATCGCGATGGTCGTACCCCGCATCCCTAAATCTTCGGCTACAAGCGCAAATCGAAAGCAATTCACCCCCCCCCATCCCCCATCAGCTTTAAAAAAAGGTCTCGTGACGTATTAGGTCAATAGTCATCGTCACCTTAATTTTTATACCATTTCTGAGCGGTCGTGGACACCAAATTTCCTGCCAGCACACGTTCCAGCTCGTTTATCGCATTTGCCACCAGAACGGTGCGGGATGACTCAACTTTCCCTCGAACCTCGTAGAAACACCGCCGCAGCCGCCCCCGTGAATCTCCTACTAAGATGACACTCGTCGTCCACTTACTGGCCACTTTGTTTATGTTTGGCGGCACGGTGGTGTTTGGCTTATACTTCTGGATGTTATTGGTGATGGGGCTGTTGCTCGTGGTGCTCTACCACGAGACGATGGCGTTGTTCAGCCGGAGCCGGCGGCGGCAGCACACGGTGCCCGAGGTGGTGGTGACGTACCATCCGACGGTGGGGCGACCTCGGTACGTGGCTGGGCGCAAACGACAAGCAGCTGGTTCTGCTTTAGTGGGAAGCTCGTAATGGGCACTAATATAATTTACGTAATTTAATATGATTTGCATGATGGTATTGGTGTAAAATGTGTTGGATTGGATTGAAATGGCCCCTGGCTACCATGTAATAGCAGACTGTGCAGTTATGGTGCTAAAATAAGGCGAAAAAATCCCGTTTTTGCTTTACCACTAATAAGGTATGATAAACCCGGTTTTTTTAAAATTTCAGGGAGTTCCTAGTGGCTTAATGGCAAAGCGTCTGACTACGAATCAGAAGATTGCAGGTTCGAGTCCTGTCTGGGAAGTCGAGTTGAGTAACATCAACACCATCCCTTCTTTTTCAATTTTTACCAAAGCAAACGACATTATTTGACTAATATCTACTTTTGGTTTACTTCGTTGCTTGTTTTATTCTAAGTTTGTATAATACAGATCTGATTGAATGTATGCGATGATAAATGCGATGGGGTTTCACACGATGTCGTGCTTGGGACGAGGCACCATGATGTAACGGAGGGCGTCAAACACATAGCAGAACACGCCGATGACACAGCCGATGGTGATGACAAAAAGCACCACCGCGTAGATGGCGCCCATGGCTTTGAAGAACATGAGTCCGGGGCCAAAGTTCTTTTCCAATTGGGACTGGGCGAGACTCATCGTCCCGAGGGGGAACGTCATGGCCCAGAATGTCCGGGAGAAGTAGACAAACCCGTAGCGGGAGTGTACGTGCTCGGGGTTAGGTGTCTTAGCAAATGGTTTCAGTTTCGCCACACACGAGAACACGGCGATCGCAGTGAAGAAGTAGCCGAGCCCTAAGAGGACAGTGTCGACCATCGAGAACACGACAATGAATACCGTGGCCACAATCTCCTTGACCACGGCCATGTTTTCCAGCAGCGCCATAAACGCCATGTATTTTTCGTGCATGTCCGAAGACAGGCCCATGATGAGATGATGCAAATTGTAGCCCATGAGGGCGACGCCGTAGCCGCCCTGGCCGAGAAAGCCCACGGGTAAAAACAGCGTGAATACTAACGATGTAGGCGGCAGTTTGTGGATGAATAGGCGCGACAAGTTGATGGTCGTGATCATAAACGCTACTCCCACGGCCACAGCCCAAAGGAGGAAAGTAACGATAAATGTAAGCACCTGTAAATTGACTCGGGGGAGGTCTAGTAAAAAGATATTCCCCTGGGACAGAGCGACGGTGATGGTGACGATGGGCAATAAGATGGACAAATGGAGGTCCTGGTGTTTGAGTTTGTGGGCGTGCTTGTTCTTACCGATATAGCAAAAGAAAAACACGATGACGCCGGTGTAGACGCTGAGCGCCACCAGGATCCACCAAAGCACAAATATCCCCACCAGCGTGAGGCGGTGGTGCGGCTTTGCAAGATAATAGATGAAATTGACAAGAGTCATGTAGCCCATGGCCATACACCCCATATACGGTGCCACGTCGGGGTCCCAGGTGAAGGCGATGCGGCGCTCGGGGCGCTTCACCGTCGCCACCACCAAAAACACCGTAAGCCAGCAAAAGAAGAACATCGCCACGCCAAACATGATACACGCACACACCCTAAGCCAGTGCGCTGGCCAGGGGAAGTTATACATGATGTTCAGCGAGATCCCCGTCCCCATCACCAGGGTGAAGTAGGCGGGAGTAAAACCCGTGATAAACCAGCGGTCGACGACGCAGCAGAGGCGCTGCCATCGCGTGTGGGTGTTGCGGTAGTCGGCGACGGTGTCCAGCGACTTGTCATCCTCAGACAGCAGGGGCATCGACTGATAAATCGCAAACGGCACGCTGTGGTTTCTTATCAGTGTGATCGAAGGTGTCTCAGCCGCAGTGGGGAGCACGCGCAGGTGTGGCGCTATTTGTAACGAAGAGCGCCATCGCGGGTGCGGCGGGGCGGCGGCGCCACTGATTTGCGCCGAAATAGCGTATAGGCGTCGGAAGTTGGCCGGAGAATGGCGGAAAGTGATAGGGACAGGAGTAATAATAGTTTTACGCCACTACTTAAGCGTTGGTGTTAGGGGAAGAGGTAGAAATGGGTGGTTTTATGGGGTTTGCTACGGGGTTTGCTTGAGTAAAACGGGGTTTAAACTAGCGGTCATCGCCGCGGAAAAAATACCCGTTTTGGAATTCCCAAAGCGGTAATCACCGCTCGAGCGGCCGCTCGTCCGAATGAGGAAGGAGGCTTTTTTGATGCCGCCGCCGCTGCCACTGCGGACGTGTTGCCGCCCGACATCGCAAATGGCAATTTCTGTGTCACCCCGAAACTTACAGAAACGCCAGGGCGGCGCATCGCCTAAAGGGGAGAGGGGAACAGCGGCGCTCACAGCGCCGCTCCCGACACTCAGGTGACCTGACATGAAACGGTGCCGTCACGGTCCTAGCCGTTTTGGGACGGTGGTGGCTCCGTCACCCCCAAACCACCACCACTACACCCAAATCGGGCGCTATGATGACACAGTTGTGTGTTAGGTGTCATTTATGTGGTCGTGGGCCGGTCGCACGGGCCCTGCATCGAATTTGGTAGACGCCCGACCCGGCGGTCGTGGGGGGTCCAGACTTTTCGCTTTGGGAACAATGCTTGACGTCACTCGGCAAGTACCCTCGCAGAGCCCCCTAGACATTTCCCCTCCCACCGCCCCTATCCTCGGTAATCGTTGTCGTTATCTGCTGAAACGGGGCAGTTCGTGTAAAAAACACGCACAGGAGCAGGAGGAGGGGTTTTATAGATCGGTGGCGATGAGATGGCTCAAACTGTGGTGGTGGCGGCGATGACACCATCGGGTGTGGCCGACGAGCGGAGGTAGCCTGTTTGGGGCATGGGCAGAGCGGAGGTTGCCACGTCCGCATGACCGCGGAAGATGCCTGATCGAGGAAAAATTTTTGGGCGGGCGCCGACGTCGGTCACGTTACAACGGGGGTTACGCAAAACGGGAAAAAATCATATAAAGCGAGCGGGCGCCGCCCCTAGTCGGCCTTCCAAGCAGACGCTCACCGCCCGCGCACCGCACAAAACCTATCAACATTTTTTGCAGCCACAGTTCCTCACGATGTTCTTAGTACCTCAACCCAACACCACCCCTACCGCCCCCGGGTGTGGTCCTGTCGCCAGCAAACCCACTACCCAGCGAGTTCAGCGCACCGTCTACCCGGTCAATTCGCTCGATATCGATTTGCCGGCGCTGCTGAAGCTCCACCACTTGATCTTGGAGCTCCGCCATCTCTTAGAAGGCCAGGGTCTTTCCAGCGAAGACATTGACATCGATGCCATTAAAGAGGCCATGGAGGCCTACACCTCCGACGAATCGGAGTGGAGCCACATGGCGTTACACGACCCGCTGAGAAACTACAGCCGCAACGGCGTAGTCAACATCAACAATAACGCCAACATGTTGTTGCTTGTGTGGCTGCCCGGCAAGCTGAGTGCCATCCACGACCACGCTAATGCTCATTGCTGCATGAAGATCTTGAAGGGCACGTTACAGGAGCTGTTATACGACTTGCCTGAGGGGCAAACGGAAATGGTCCCCAAGAAGCACACGTTGTTGCCCCGCGATAGCGTCGGCTATATCTCCGACGATATCGGTCTCCACAAAATCCTGAACCCTACAAACGAAGTAGCAGTGCTGCTCCACGTGTACACGCCGCCGTACGCGCTGAAGTTCGGGTGTCTGATGTACGAGGCCAACGGCACCAAGCACCACGTCGACATGCTGAAGTACTACAGCTGGCAGGGCGAGTTGGTCAACCTGACGGGCCACCTGACGTGTTAACGAGTTTTACGAAAAGTTTATGGGATCCAAAGGCCTAGTGCAGAGTCTTTTAGTTCCCTCTCCAAGCATATAATCATGAATCAAATAAACATTGGAAAATAAAAATCTTGTAGCCTATAATTAAAAAAATGAATCAAAGAAATCGATGATTGAATTACATATCGTAATTATTTCGATACGGCGAAATTATACCCGAGTTAGGCGGCCACGTCGCTAGACTCACTAGAATATGATTGGTAGTTTTTGAAATGCATTCTTGGGAGGCTTAGTCGACGTGAGTCAACCTAAATCATTTGCTGTTCGTTGCATCGACTCAAAAAAAATCCAGTTATCTCAGATAGGAGTTATCACTAACTAATTAGCGCTGACTCAGAGGTCATCGAAGATAATAGAAAAGATTAAGCCTGACACATTGATGTAAACCTAATTTCACCTGTTGATGATCGATACTCTCATTGTTCGTTCCGATGCGGGTTATTTTGTTTTTGTACCATGCCCGCTTATATGCTCGTGTGACTTTATGAGGGGAACCAGCAGACACCGCCCCCGGACCCTTATTGGTCTGCCACAAACTGTTATCAATGCAGACACGCGTATCTAAGGTACACTGGGGTTGAAAAGACCGTTTCCCCGATAGTTATAGCTGTTAGTGCTTATCAAACTACCCACTATCGTTCAGGGCAGATGACCTATCTTTGTGCCCTGGAATCGGAGAGCGGCTGTTTGCACGGTGATTGAGCGGGGGCAGGGGTCATCAAAATTCCCGGATTAGCTTTTAACCATGCCTCAAGCATGTCTTTATTGTGTATTTTTCTTGGTCTGCCTTTGTATGCCGACAGCGGCAATTACACAAAAGGGAAATTCTGACATCCGTTGCCTCCGTTACCCAATCGGGTAAGTACCGCTCGCCTACCCCCGACGTTAGTAGTGTACCCGATCCCCCGCCAAAATGAAAAGCACTCCAAAACAGATTGATCTGAGAAGAAGATATTGCAGAAATGGCCAGGTGAATTGGGAAGATCAAAAAGGAATCACACTCCATGGAAGATTCAACATATATCAGAGAGTATACGGATCAATTTTGGCTAGCCGACCTTCGAGAACACTTCGAGATTGTGATTGATTTCGTGACTTTCTTTGTGACGAATACCATCTTCAAAACAAATGTACTGGTTTGTGGAGGTGTATTGGGGTCGATGATAATGGTCCTGCCTCAAAAGCGTAGGCAAATTTATTGCTGAGGAAGATACCACACAAACCAATGTTTTTCACAAAAAACAGAGCAGTATCAGATTTGGGTTGTTGATGATAGTAAGGAATGTCAATTAACCAATAGACTAGTGCCAGCTAGAGCTTTGATGTTAGTTTTGATTATCGTCAACGATGATCCCATTACTGGAAGTCTCAAGCAAGTAAACAATATGTCGACCCCAAATGTTGACAACGAGCGAGTTATAAACTTGACGTGACGGATACATTTAGAAAATCAGGCGCATCTGGTTCTATTGTTTGGTTTGTGGTCGCTGATCCACGCCGCACGCAGCGCTATATCAATGACTACCAGCTGATCATAACAAAGCAACATCCTTGAGGAATGAGCAAATAAGCCAAGCTAATATTTTGCTTGATCAAAGACTAAGCTAAGGCCATCACAAAGGTTGTTGTCCCTCATCAGTTCCAACCGTCGCCACTAAGGGACAGGGGTTTTCCCGACTCAACACATGGTGGTACACCCACGCCTCGCCCAAGCCAGCAAAGCCACACTCACACCGGCCAGACTGCTTTAGCATGCTACGCAACGTGGCTCTCAGACAGACAGCCCCGCTGTCGAACTTGAAGTGATGCCGGAGGAGGTGGCTCACGTATAGTGTGAACAGCTGCCTTGATTTCAAGTGAAACGGACAATTCCCCGAGGCCAAAAACACACAATTGAGTGGATTGGCTTGGATACCCTGAAGCGACTTTACGTGGTTCTTGGCATGGCGGTGGAACTTTGTGGCACACACAGAACACCGGTCTGGCGGTGGCACCACCAATGTTAGCGGACACGGGTTGGCCAGCGCCATCACGTGGTCGTGGAGCCACGCCACGCCCGTGCCGTGATAACCACACTCACATCTACCTGAGCGGGCGTATAACTGGCTGAGGGGAGCCCGCCACGGCTCGTCGAGGTCGTCATGCAAAAAGTGGCGGGTGAGCATGTGGACCTTAGCGTTAGTTTCCCCGGCAAACAATCCACACTTGCCAAGGGTTCGGAACTTACACTCAATGTGCCAGTCGTCGCGGTGGGACTTGACGTGGAGTTGCAATCCGTCCTCACACCAGCGACCACATACTGTGCAATTACCCAGCGTTGGCGCCTCCGGGTCGACTGCCGCTGTTACCAAAGGACACGAGGCAACAGGCGGTAATACGTGGTAGACAAGCCACAGATGAACATCGTCGTGATAGCCACATTCACACGTGCCTGGTTGCTTCATCTTTACGTTGAGGCGAGCATTAATCATAGCGGGATCGTCGAAGGCAAAGTGGTGGTTGACCATGTGGTACCGATTCATGCGAGTATAGTCCTGTGTTTTTGGATGGCATTTGCCTAGAACCGCAAATTGACATACTACCGGTTTTCGTTGGGTCATTGGAAATGATGCTTCCTTTACCTCACTTTCATCTTTGGGTTCAGGCTGCTGGCACGGAACTGCCGATGGCGTTTCTTGGTCATGTGGCAGTGTCATTGACAGAACAGGCGACGATGTTTCTTGTACATCCCGTAGTGGCGTCGACGGATGAAGCGAGGGCAATTGTCGGTGACGTGACGGTGTTGTCGACCGAGTAGGCGCAGGAACTTCTTGATAACGTTGCCGTGTCGTCAACTGAATAGGCGAAGGTGGTTTCGGATCTTGTATGATTTTCAACGCTGCTTCATTAGTGGGTGGGTATGAGTCCCTCAGTGTCGTCGGATTAGGCAAAGGCTTACTCGTGTCGTTGATAGTAGTGATAGGGGGCGGCAATATTGTCGGCGCTGCTGGTTTAGTGAGCGGGCATGGGTTCTCCAGTGTCAAAACATGATGCAACAACCACGTCTCCACCGAGCCGAAAAATCCACACTCACACTTGCCCATGTCTGTCCACAACATTGTGAGCGTTCCGTAAGACAAAGCCATCTCATTGTCGAGTTTAAAGTGATGCCTGAGCATGTGTAAGTTGCAAGCGCTAGTATCACTATACACGAAATCGCTGCATCTCCCTAGTGGCCAAAACTTGCAAGTTAACTCTGCCGACTTCTTGACATGAACATCGATGTGCAGCTTTATCGCCAGGAGGTGATAGAATCGTTTGCCACAAGTATCACAGATGTAACATTTGCGGATCGACGGCCGAGCTCTGACTCTTCTCTCTCGGGGAATCCTGTTGACGTTTTCGGGGGGCTGTTCTGGAAGCTTTTCTGGAGACTTTTCCGGGGGCACAAGCGTTTGTTTGGTTCTAACATACTTCCGTCGCCGATCTATTGTATCCCCTGGGAATACTTTGCATGGAACAAGAACGATTCTGGAGAGTTTCTCATCTCTCGATTTGTGGGATGTCGGTGCCAGATGTTGATGTGGCACCAAGCCAGTATCAGGGATACGTGATAGATTTGGATGGCTTTCGACATCAACAGAACGGTTACTCTCAACAGCTTCAACAACCATTGGCGCAGGACTGTCTTTGACTCCCGGTGAATTTAGTCTCAACAGGGTGGACGCCTCTAGTTGAGACGATAATACATTTAGTCGTGGAGACGGCGAAGGCATTCTAGAATTCATGGCATACAAAAAACAGCGGATTATCTAACCTCAACTGGTGGCCTCAGTTCTGCTGGAGTCACTGCAATTGCTACCTGTATCGTAAGAAAAGGAGGCGATATCCAAGTGCAGGCAACAAAGCTTAATTTGGTAAGTTTAGCTCAGCTTGGTCGTCTATGATGATGCGCTAGGCGTTTGAATTCTAGAACCGTGTACTTCTGTAAATATACACAAATAGGGAGGCATATCATCCTTGCAAATCACCAAACTTCGTGAATACATTTGAACAAAACTAACTAGCCAAGTATATTGAGTTGATGGATACGTGATGCCATACTCTTCGACTTCCGCTAAACTTAATTTAGTCGTGCGGTGAGAATTTAGCTAGATTAGATTTGGAGCAGTATACCTTGCCCCAGCGGAGGCGTAGCGGCATATGGGCATGACAAATTCAATCCTATAGTTCAGTCTAAGACAAGAAAAAATATTTCACGTTATATTCACACATAGTTTCATGATAGTATCGATAATAAGTGCTGACTACCCAATCGCTCATGATGCTAATCATCCTCTACATTGATAAGTATATGATGCACACACCGGCAAGCTTCATATGGCACTAGGGTAACTCAATCTCATACCAGATATATTACGATTTTTCTTCAAATGTTGACTCAGCTTGTATTAACTATATACAGAAAATAATAAGAGCGGCACGCCCTGCCCACAACCGGTCTATTTGGCGGTCACATCACCAGAACGCCATGGTTGAGTACTCCCAAACCACGACGCCGGGATGCGTCAAAGAACCATCGCCCCACCCACTTGGCCGTAGCACTGGGGTGACCAGTACCCGAATGCCATTAGAGTATTTAGCTCTTGTTTCACCCGAAGACGATGACAAATCGAGCACTGGTGGGGTGAGACGGTGGTTCAGATCCCCCTGCCAACCGAAGCCAGCAGAGTTTACCTTCTTCGTCCTGAGCAGTGACGAAATCCACAACTTATATATACAAGCACAATGACATCGCGGGTTCTGCTATCCACTGCTTTTCATGGGCCACGCTAACTCTGGCGTGGGATGCCTCCTCTGTTGGCGGGGATGAACACTCAACTTCTCCGGGCACGGCACTATCCACTGCGGCTGAGGTGATCAGATCAGCCTCACTTGCAGGGGTGCGGACACTCAACCGGGTACTCAGTTCTCCGGGCACGGCACTGTCCACTGCGGCTGAGGTGATCAGATCATCCTCACTTGCAGGGGTGCGGACACTCAACCGGGAACTGTTGGCGCTCAGCTGCCACGCCTTTAAAGGTACCAAACAAGGGTAGCGACTAAGCTGCTCACTGATTTGCTGGGACAGGATCCGCTTTGTCATTAGTTCACCCAACCACCACTGCCGACATTTAAGGGGTGTGCTAACTCTCCACGTTAAGCAACGGGCATAGCGTAGCACACTTTCCACCTATTCGTCGTGGGAACAAAGGAGTTATCCGTATAGCGATGATTGAGTGAACTATGGAGTCCATGGGTGATGAAGAGAAAAACAAGTTACAGGGCATGCGAGTGGTTTTTATACTCCTACCCTGTATATAGCCAATTAATAAACCTGGGACGAATTGTTACCTGGCCATCAGCTGCTGGCCCGCCTCTGCCATTGTTCTCGTCGCCATCACGACAGTATGCCTGACCTAATGAAAGATGCGATCGACGATATAGTCGATGATCAGAGATCCTCCAAGCAAAGTGAGCATGGCGAGGGCGTCTCCACTACCAACGCTAGACTCTGCTAACTTCAACGATCCCAATAGCTTCAAAAGTCCCCGTATAACCCATTGCTCAGTATCAGCCAATCGGGTCGATAGTAGGGGGCATGGCTGTGATGTCATTGATAATATTTAACACCCCGCACCATCAGCCAGCCATCTTGATGGATCCGAGTTTGGCCTCATCATCCCTCAGAAGTAAACAAACCTCACAAATTAGAATCTAGTGTCGATTGGCAATACCATAATGAATCGACAGCCTCGAACCACCACCAAACCCTAGATTAGTGCCATCTTCGTAGACTCATACCCCTCAAACCCCAATGGTTTAGACCTTTCTCGTTGCCGACGATTTCCCATTAATGATGCACCTAGGCCGTGACGAGCAGCGCCGACTCCGGAATGTGGGCCTGAGAGACGCCTCCGATTGGTGGACCTCCGAGTTTATCAGTACTGAAGAAAGATTGATCGGAGACTTCCCCATTAGTGAATCTCTGAGTGTTTTGAAAGTAGCAACAGTCTTCATCAGTAAATGGCAAATCAGCATTCAAACGGTAATAAATCAGCCGCAATGACACCCGCAATTAGCTTAACATGACAATCGATAGTTGAGCATCCTTTACATCCTCCACGTTTAGCACCGGTATCGTCTTTTTATCAACTCATTAATATAAGAGAGTGGTTGGCGGGTTTGAGAGTTTGAGGATCACACGACACCATCAGGAGATCCGATTACTCTGAAGCAGATGGCGCTTCTACAAGTGACTGTTAACCGGAAAAGATTGACGTTTCAGATTATCAATGTTGAATTGTGATAATACATAATGAACTTTGATTCCATTGAACCATTCGTCACGTTTATCGGACCTTAAGCTAAAATAAAGTCGATAGCAGGAATGTTAAGAGAGCGCATCAACGCCTATTCCAAATAGGGATGAAAGCTGAGTTAGACATATATTATCATCGAGATTGTACTAGGAAATCATAGGGGAGCTCATATTTGCTTCCTTTATCAGCTTGTTGTCACATTGGTGCGCGGCCACTAATGCGCCACTTCTTATCAAGTTTAGTGCGATCAAGCTGTAGGTCTAGATGCTTAGCTGAACAATAATGATGGCAGCAAAGGCTCACAACTTACTGTCAACGAAGTGGTTTTGGCGACTTCACATGTCGCTGCCAAAATATTTTGGTTTTATTTTCCAACGATGCGAAATTACTTTTGTGAGAGTACCAAATACTGCTATTAGCTAATTCATTATATACCATTTCAAACATTACGTACCAACATCACTATATACAGACAGAAGCCTGTTGATCGCTTCCTACTTATACAAGAAGCCCAACCAGCCCTCTTTACGAGCTTGGCGCTCCAGCTCGGGGATGAACGCGTCGATGTGGCCCTTGATCTTTTCCACCCCTTGTTCGGCAGTGGCTTCACGGCCAATAACGTCGACAAACTTACCCTCGGCGTCCATCAAGTAGAAGAAGATCAGGTGGTCGACAAGGTAGTCCTGGCCGGGCTTGACGTCGGGCGGAGTGGAGAAGTACACCCGGTACTGCTTGCACGCGTTCTTGACATTCTCGTAGGTACCAGTCAACCCCACGATCAGCGGGTCAAAGTCTTCAAGGTACTCCTTGATGATCTCGGGCGAGTCGCGAGCAGGGTCGCAGGTGATGAAATACGGGTGCAACTTGATGTTGTCCTTTCTCAACGCGGCCAACATCTCGCCCAACTTGTCGAGTTCATCGGGACACACGTCGGGACAGTGGGTGAACCCGAAGTAGATGATCAGGAACTCCTTGTTGTCGTGGACGAGGTCTTTCTCCGTGAACGGCTGGTTGTTGGTGTCCACCAACTTGAAGGGACCGCCAATGAGAGGCTTACCGTACAGACGTTTCAGTTCGACCTCCTTTTGGATGCGGAGCCGCTCCTTTTCTCTCGAGAACCACCAGGTGAACAAACCACCCCCAACAATGAGCACCATCACCGCCTTCCACAGGGCAAACTCAATCAGGTTATTCGATCTACCCTGCGACTGGTTCAGGCCACCAATTGCCACTCTCGAAAGCGGTCTCTTCTTGGGTTTAGCGTCCGTTTCGGTGGCGGCATCGGCCTTTGCTCCAGCCTCGGTGGTGGGCTTAGCATCGGGTTTGACGGGGTCAGACAGGCCAGGACCCACTTTCTGGAACGCCCGAATGCTGTGGCTGAACTGGCGCAACGGCATGAGCCGCGCCTGGCGGGTTAAGGGAGCCAAACGGAACATGGTGGGTTGGTAACGTCAAACGCCGCGCTGCGAAAATGGACTGATGTTTATAATGGAGGAGATGTAAGGAGGCAATACTAAGCAGACTTCAGAGAAATTTAGTATAAAAGAAGGTAAAAAAAAGTGATCGATTTTGTTTAGCAGGTGTTACTTTAACGGATTTAGAGAGATTCTTAAGTTCACCATAGTTAACAGGTTTAGTGATGGTAGCATGATTCATCACACGAAATGGAGGGTGAAATATCATGGTTACACATACCTAGACTCTTTATTTGATTTCCCTTGATACACAATTGTAGAGATCACTAAAATTACCTGAATTGTGAGTCAGTTTTCAACCCATTTCGGTAACCACTACACGCCACACAGTAAACTTACATGGTAGTCGTCTTCTCCGTCGATCTCCGTCCAATTAATTCATCTAAATCGAAATCTGATTGATTGCAAATCACCTTCCACGCCCTTCTTTTGCCTTCTTTAGAAACCGCATTATCTTGCCACCACCATAGCTGCCACCGGCCATCGCAATCGCACGCCCTCCACAATATGATCGCCGACCTAGTCCAATGGGCCGAGGCCAATGGCGCTCAACTCAGTCCCGGGATCACAGCCAAGAGTCTCGGCACTGGAAACCTTGGTGTGGTTGCTGACGGCAGCCACCCGGACGTCGAGATCTCGGTGCCTTCGAAACTTATGATCCACGCCAATTTAGCTGATTCGGCTGAATATGGCGACTCTCCCAGTCTTTCTCGACTCAAATTATATTTGGCCAAGGAGAGAAACAATCCGAGCAACTTCTACCAGCCGTACTTTGCCGCTTTGCCCGATTTCGATGCCATCAACCTGCCGTTGACATGGCTGGCAGAACACCAGCTGCTCTTGAAGGGGACTAATCTTGGTGGGTCTATCAAGGACCATTTGTCCAAGCTTATTGAAGAATGGTGGCAGGCAGTGGAACGGCTTCCGGCTACGGTGGAAAAGCCCGCCACTCATTTTATGAACCAGAAGTTCTACTACGAGCTGAAGTTCTATGAAGCCGACGATATGTACAAATATTTGCACGAGTACGATGTGGCTAACTGGACATCATTTCCTGCCTACCTTTGGGCGCTGCTTATCCTTAAACTGAGAGCTTTCCCTGCCTACTTGGCCCGGGAAGACTTGGAAAAGTATGGCCCTGTAAAGGCTAATGACGTGATGTTGGTACCGATAATTGATTTGTTGAACCACTCACCATCGGCTAAGGTCGACTGGGTGTTTGACCAAGGTAAATTTACTTTTAAGACGACCATATCCACTGTGGGTGAAGTGCACAACAATTACGGCATGAAAGGCAACGAGGAGTTGCTTTTGGGCTACGGGTTTGTCCTTGAAAATAACCAAGCCGATACCGCTGCAGTAAAGATTAAGATCCCCGAGGTATTGGTGGAAGAACTCAAACTGGAGGGGGTGAAACTTCCTACCATTTCCGACTATACCATGAGTGTGGTCGACACCAGCAAAACCACAGAGGAAACTGACGAGAAGGAAGAAACTGCTAGTCCCAGTGACGGCACAATCTTCTTCCTTTCTCAAGTACTGTTGCCGCCGGCTTTAGTGCTGGTATTTTCGATCTTAGTCCGCAACCGGTGGGACCAACCCGGTCTGCTCCGGGCTAAGCTTATGGGGTTACTGTCACTCACCCAAGCGCTTGAGGCGAAGCTGGAGTTGATCAATGTGCCAGAGGGAAACTCGGAAGTGGAGACGACGGTGAGAATTTATGCCCAGAGCCAGAAGCTGATCTTCAAGCTGGCGTTGAAGCACATCAAAAGCGAGACGAAACAGTTGTTTGCCGACCACAAATCGCAGCTTGTCACTCTGAAAACGGTGTACAAGTACGATGTGAAAATTACTAATGCCTTGCTCTTAGCGTTTGGGTTCACGCTGCTTGAAGACGTCTACGCCCACCAGTTCCAGGACCAGATGTGGTTGTTGTGGCTTGTCAGATGTGCCAACCGCGACGCCTACGTTGATCCTGAATCTGATGAAGGCGATGAAGATAACTGGCTTCCTAAGTGGGTTAAAACTTGCTTTGACCGGGTGGCTAATGAGTGTGAAGTTTCTCCTCAGGAAATCATCGCTTACAAGGATATCTACCAACAATTGGTGCCTCCCTTGGCTCAAGCGGTTCCTGAAGTGTTTGGTAAAGGTGATTGGGGAGTTAAAAACTTCATCCTTGCCGCAAAGCTTTTGGACTTGGTTAGTTTCGTCCGCGGTAAGGACCAAGAGTGTATCGTGGTCGAACCCGAGGCCGTGGCCAAGGCGTAAGCCACTTCAGCAAACTAGAAGGCTTGTATATAGCGATGAATGAATGTCATAAACGATAATTCAAGATACAAATAGTTGATTGTAATTGGGGTCATTTAGGAATTAGCTGAACATGTCTGAAGGAGCTATTCTACTAACTAGTTGGTTAGTTACTCTCAATGGACTCCATCATGGCATTAGCATTTATTTCAGTGGATGAATAAGGGTTCTTGATGTGATACGATTGAAACAGATCGAACAATACCTGTCTATACTCAACATGTTAAGAGACTCTAGTAGTTATGCTACTGAGGTAATCCGAAATGTATATGCTCGAAGGGTAAAATGAGAGATAAGATAAGGAATCACAAAATCAGCTGCCAATTGTGGCTGCTGCCAATTTAATCTACACGTATGAATTGTTTCTGTTCATTTGTATCATGAATGTATTTGTTAAGGAAGATGACATTAGTGGCCCCCGGTGGTGGGCAACCCCACCGACACCTTGAAGGTGTCGTAGATCAACCATTGGAACCCGGTCAAGGTCCCGATCATGACGATTCTCATGGGCAACCCGTTCCACAACCCGGCAAAGCCGATCTGGCCGTAGATGCGCTTGAGGGCCTGGCCGGTAGACTCGGTGGGCTTCTTGTCCGAGGTGATCTTCGACACCATCACATCGGCGGGGTGCGACACCACCGCGCAGAAGATACCGGCGATGTAACCACCGGCGAACGAGAACCCGGTCTGCTGAACGGGAGTGTACTCCGAGGGCTTCTTGCCCACCCACTTGTAGAGCTGAGCCACGGTGGCTTCGAAAGTGGTGAACTTGACACAGGTGTAGGGGATTTGACGGCACCACAACGGCACGATCCCCTTGTACAACCCGTTGATCCCTTCAGCAGCGACGATCTTCTTCCACCCGTCAACGACGTTAGAAGCGTACGGAGGGATGGTGGTTTGGGTCTTCACCTTGATCGTTTCAAAGGGACACAACGCGATATCGGCGAAGAATTCAGCGGAAGCCGAGGCAGCGGCGTAGATCACCGAGCGGTACTCGTTGGCGATGTTGGGCCCGACGAGATCGGAGTACTTCTTCTTGAACAACTCGTAACCCCCGTACTTACCCGCCCCCTGGAGCGAGTACCCGATGAACGTGGCACCGGCACCGGTCCAGATCAGATCACCGGGGGTCTTCAAAATCGTCTTAAACGCTTGCAAATTGGAGCGGTACAAGTTGGGGTCGACCTGACGGCGGCACTTGACCAAGTCGAGGGGAGTCACCGCGGTGTGGGTGGGCCCACACGCGACCATCCCGCCCAAGGTGCAGGCGCCGTAGTACTCGGGGCTGAACAATTCGATCGTCTTCTTTTCGGGCATTGTGTGGTTTCGCAATTGAAGAAGAGAGAGAGTATTAAAACGAAATTTGCGACTGGTATATATGGGGGTTGCTTCCGACCGACCCAGCGGTGTGTGCAGGGCGGCGACGCACGGTGCCGATAGTGAGGGATTTCAGGTGTCGGAAGCGGTGGGTCCGAGTGCTCACGGACGGGGCCCCGGCGTCCGATCGAGCCAGCAAGCACGGTGGCGGTCTGTAGTGTGACCGGTTAGTGGTTGGTGATGCCAATGGCTCAATTGGGGGCTGAAATTCTCGGTGATTTATTGGTTCTGTTTGTGTCGGGTTGGCAGCCGCCGGAGCCGCGTGGCATCGTCTATGCGTGCGAACCCGGCCGGAGTTATGGGGAGGTACCATGCACTGGTAGTGACGGCAGTGACGGCAGTGTCGGAAACGTCGGAAACGTCGGGAGTGCCGACAGTACTCCCGGCAATGTCAAACACGCTTCTTTGATTTCATCAATTCCCATCCAATTTATCTATACGTCTCCCTAACCTATACTTTACCCCTAATCATTGCCTTTCGACTTTCCATTCAACCTCAGTAATACTGACTTCAGCGCCCTGTTTTTCGTCGTAGTCGTACCACTCGCCTTCTTCCAAATCGACCTCGTTAAACTTGGTACTCAGCTCGGCGCCCACCGCCTGAAACTTCCCTTCGGGAATAAACTCCACTACTTCCAAACCGCGGGCATCGATCTCAAGCAACCGCGCCCACTGGTCCAGCTCGGCAATGGTGGTCTTGGTGGCGGCGACGTTGGCGCTCAGTTCGCTCTTGCACTCTTTGCACCGGAACACAAACAGCGCCTCGCCGCGCAGGCCGCCGATCTCGTGCTTTTCGTAGGTGTTGATGGTGACGGGCTTGTCGTGGACGTTGCGGCAGCGGGTGCACTCGATGCGGAAGGTGTACTCGAACTTGTCCTGGGGGTCGTTGACGGGCTGGACGTCGGTGACTCCGTCGAGGGTGGCCTTGCCCGAGAGGTAGAAGATGGTCATGGCGGGTTAGAGTGGTGGCGATTGCGCTGAGGCGCTGAGGGCGCTGAGTGCGCGGTGCGCGGTGCGCGGGGACTAGGTGAGCGATAGCTCAGTGCGGCTACTAAAAGGGCAACCACCCAATAGCCCCTCGTACGCTGCCGTTGGGCGGACGGGGTCCGCCTCGATGTGTCTATCCAGAGGTAACTACGACCGCCTCGAACAGAACTATTTTATACCGAATTTTACGGGTGGTGTGACCACCTAAATGCATGGCCGATGATTATACCCGCGTGAGACAGGCGCCAGATATTATCGTCGCCGAGATGAAATTTGCGCCCTCAGCGCGTGTACGGTTGGAAGTGAAATTGGCGTGCGGCTTAGACGACCACGAGAGTGTCAATTGCTGGCAAGAAATTGCTATCCACTCCCCCCCTTTGGTCTCGAATTGGCCGTTAAGGTATTGTGGTCGCTTTGGGCGGCTACAATTGGTCCACTTATGTAGCGTCGGCTATGCCCCGCGGAAAGCGATATCGCGGGCGCAATGGTGTCTGGCGCCTTTTCGGAGTGGTAGTCCACAAAGTGTGGCGGTTTTTTCCAATCAGGCGGGCTTTGAGAGCAAAGGCGGGTAGCGCGACGACAGCGCCGTACCGGGACGCCTGACGAGTTTCAAGAGTTTTTCCGGGGGCTTTTCAGGGCTATCCCCAGGGCTCTTTAGGGCTTTCCCCTTAGAGTGACCACTAGGCGCTTCCGTCACCATTGTCGCTGCCGGCGCCGGCGATTGTGGCGCATGGGGCGTGCCAATGCTCACATCACGGGAGACCACTGTATTTGGCCACGAGCGATTGTATTCGGGACAAACGCAGCCGGGAGGTGTGAGGCGAATTACGGTGCTATTGTGGTCAATGTATGCCAAGACCGCTGCCAAAGCACCAGTGGTGGCGTATTTGTGGTTAGTTTCTTTTCGTAGGAAGAGGCCTGTTCGTAGTTGGTAATGGAGCAGGTGGCGAAGCAGGTAATGGAACAGGAAATGGAACAGCTTAAGCAGGTGCTGGGGCAGGTGCTGGGGCAGGCGACGTCTCACACACCCATGTGCGGGCCGCTATTGTCCCCTCGGCGTTAGCCGCAGGCCTCTCTCCTCTCTGTATGTTTGACTAAAGCCTACTTGGTCTCAGGGGGGGCGGTGCCCAAAAAGCCTGGTGGAGGGGACACATGGCTGAGGTAGCCGCGGTGCCGTTGCCCGTGACAGTCGTACCACATGACACTGCCAAACCACTTAAAACAGACGTTAGTGGTGATGGGTGCCTGTCATCTGTAGTGGTGGACGCAAATTTATGCGCGGGGTTTTATTCTGGGTGCATTGTTCCACTAAATCAGAAACGAGCGTGATGTCACCGTGCAGGGCGAAATTTTCCAGGGGCATGAGCTTTTTGTGCCCGCTGGCGAGTCGTGGGCCCAAATTGTTGCCAGTAGCGACGAGCGAGAAGCGCCAGGGGCGCTGTCCTGGCGACGGGCGGCGCCGCGACGAATAAAAGCTTATGTGCGGCGGCGGCGCCGGGCGCCCCCTTCGGTGGGCGCTCGGGGGTTAGCACTATTATGATATTCAGGTGATGGGTGTGATATTGGTCCGGTTTATTCCTGATTGCCGCTTACTACGGGTGGCACATATCTGACGTAAGCCAAGCGCGATCGGCGCCGATTTCTGTGCGACGGGTCCGGTAGCGAGGGCCACAAACGCGCCCCAGTAGAAGTGACAAGTGCCACCAGCGGTGGCGAATTTCACCCCCTACACCGGCGCCCCGTGTCGCCGGCGGTCGGCGGAGGTCGCATCCCGCTATAGACATTTGTAGGAAAATGGTAAATGCCCCGGCGCCCGCCAGTGCCGCGCCAGCGCTTAAAGGCGACGGCGAAACCCTCCCCGTCTTCTGGCTAAAGTAGCAGCAAATGCAAGCGCTCCTGCTGCCACGGGCGTTAGCTGGGGACCAGGCACCCGTCGACGCCGCCCTCAGCGCCGCCCTTCTCCGGTAGATGTCTGACCTGTCCCGAGGAGGCGCCAACGGCAGGCGCTGAGCAGGCGCTGGCGCTGGGCATAGGCGACACCACGTTCCCCTCCGTACGCCAAAACACGACAACCGGCGCTGTTGACGACGAGTGTGCGCAGAGGGCGACCGCTTTTTGAAGGGTCTAGACACCAGCTAAGGGCGCTGAGGGCGCTGGGAGCGCTGTTTGCGCTGGGCGCTCATCGCCCCCCTCTCGAAATGAGAATCAACTACCAGCTAAATCTGGGGAGAGAGCAGCCCCTCACGGCTGCCAATTAGACCCCAAAAACTCTTGGTTTCTGTGGTCTAAGAGCGCTACTAGATTGTGGTATCTGTTTCAGCCCTATGAATGCCACGGCGGACTCTATCTCTGTCTCTCTATCTCTTGAGAGGTCACTCGCTCGTCACAAAAAGCGGCGCCCCCCTCTCCCACGAGGACAACAGCGGCGCTGGCGGGATCCCAGCCGACTAAGATACTAGGTATAGCCCACAAGCGAGGGCGCCGCCGCTGCCGCTGCTGCCTGGCGAGGGTGCCGTTCGTCCCATACTAGGGGCGATTTGGATATTACGGTCAGTGTCCCGATCCTGATTACCCGTTTTCCCATTAACCTCTACTAACCTCTAAACACCCGCTTCCTAATTCTGTTAATTTATTTTTTTACATTTTCGCTGTGCAGCACAAAGTCTAGACATTTCCTTTCTGTCACACCCACATGGGATTTTTCTTCCCTAACGGAAAAGTAGACGCCACCTCCGGAAAGCAGAACGTTCTGGACTGAGAGGCCTCTGGCTAAACAGGAGCACCTATCACAGCTAGCAAGGGCTCTGATGCTCCGGTGGGCCGACGATGGACGAAAGCGCTCCCATTATTGAGTCGTTAGGGTTTAAAAATAGGTATAAGCGGTGTCTACGCCGCCCTGGTCCAATTGGGGGGCTGGCGAGTGTCGTATATATTTGGGGGAGTTCTCGTGGTCTTGGGGGTGGTGGGGGAGAATTTTGGTTGTTGAGGGTGTTCCTGAAACCAAGGGCGTCCAGATTAAGAAAGTGAATGCAACCATCAAACACCGAGCCTGTCCTGATTACTGAGAATTATTTGCGCTGGGCGCATGGGAGCCCGGAATTTACATGTACAAACGCACCCGAATATTTTATTTGAAGGCATGCTCAACTTTTAGGTGTGCATAAGGGACACCTCACGTTCTGGAAATTATTAGAAGTGGTGTACATAAGGCGTATGTCCTGACTCAATGCAATCTAATAACAAGTATTTTTTCCCACTCGAATGATAACCTGTATTTTCTATCCAATCCACTACTCCACTGGTTTTGTGGCTCGCCCGACGTCGAGTGTCGTCGACAACCAGTCCCCGCTGTAATTGGCACTGCCCTCTCGCCCTCTAGTCTCAATAAAACGGCACCGCCAGCACCGCTGGCCCGCCGTCGATAGCCTCCTTCTCCCCCCTTGCCCTCGCCATTGCTCTCCGACTCCCCATCTTCGTATATGAGCCA